CACCCCAGGAGGAGGATCGGGAAAGAGTGCACAGCCTCGTCTCTGGGGCTACATCCTCTCGCCTCCTCCCGACTTTTTCTGCCACAATCGGGTCATTAACGCCCAGCCTACACCCAAGGGGGGGACCCGGCTCCACCTCTTGGAGGGGTAAGACCCAGGGGCGGTGGGCCTGCTTCACACCTGGCCCCTGCTGTCCCCACTTTGCAGTCGAGGAGACGGAGGCTCCACTGCGGAAGGCCACTGACCCCAGACTCTAGCCGCCTCCTCGTAGGAGGCCGAGAGTGCCGGACATGACCGTTGGGGCCTGTGTAGCCCTAAGCTCCACTGTCCCCAGGGGACTCTGTCCTGAGCCCGCTGTGCTTCCTATCCCTGCCCCACAAGGACCTGGAGGAGCAGCTGGAGGAGGAGGAGGCGGCCAGGCAGAAGCTGCAGCTTGAGAAGGTCACGGCCGAGGCCAAGATCAAGAAGCTGGAGGACGACATCCTGGTCATGGACGACCAGAACAACAAGCTGTCCAAGGTGAGGGGCGGCCTCTGCATGGCCACGGGGCTGCCCGGGGGCGGGGGCTGGGAGAGCCCATGAGCTCTGCCACCTGGAGGTACCGCCATCCTGGTCAGTGACACCTCCCCAGTCGCCCTGAGGGGGGTGTCCTGTGTCCTGGAGCCGGGGATCCCCCTCAGGCTGGGGACCCTTGGGGAACCTCCACCAGTGGACAGCAGCCTGCCTTTGGCTACAATGTGGGGCGTTCTTTTGGATGTTTATATGGAAATTACCAAAAGAAAGATGCAGATCGTGGAGGAAAACAGAGTCGACACTGTCTCTCTTCCCGCCCCCAAAGGAGCGGAAACTCCTGGAGGAGAGAATCAGCGACCTGACCACGAATCTAGCGGAGGAGGAGGAGAAGGCCAAGAACCTCACCAAGCTGAAGAACAAGCACGAGTCCATGATCTCAGAACTGGAAGGTGGGCCGCCGCCTCGGGCTCCCGGGGACGGGAGGGAGGTCCGGAGTCTGAGGTCCCCAGGAGCTTGGCCTGACCCTGCTGTGCTGCTGTGCGGTTGGGGGGATGTGTGGGCCCCCGGGTGGGCCCCGTCCTGAGCGCCCTCTGCGGCTGCAGTGCGGCTGAAGAAGGAGGAGAAGAGCCGGCAGGAGCTGGAGAAGCTGAAGCGGAAGCTGGAGGGCGACGCCAGCGACTTCCACGAGCAGATCGCCGACCTGCAGGCGCAGATCGCGGAGCTCAAGATGCAGCTGGCCAAGAAGGAGGAGGAGCTGCAGGCGGCCCTGGCCAGGTAGCGGACGGCGCAGGGCCGAGGCCATGTGTGCAGTGTCCGGGGGCCGCCGGCCATCTGTAGCGGCCACCTTGGTCCAGGTGCCCCAGGCCCTTAGCACAGATGGGGTTTTGCGGCCAGGCCTCTGCTCTCAGCCTCCCAGCTCACCTGGGACTGTCTTCTCCCCCCTCCAAGCCCAGCCTTCCTTTGTAGCCTCCCTGTTCCCATGCTGTCGGGGTGCACTCTCTGGATGCCCGGGCGTTTCTCATCCACACCCCAGTTCTGCATTCCATCGCTCACTGAGTCCATTTCACGACACGTCTAAAGCTAGGGTGACCTTCCTGTCCCCCAGGTCCCTCTTTTTGTGAATGCCAGGCTCCTCCGCAGCTGTTGCCCACCCTCTTCTTCCCTCCCACAGCAGGCAGCAGCCCCCCCACACACACTCTGCCTATCCTTGGAGAGGTGCTCCCATCCGTCCCCCCCTTTGTCCCCTTTGCCTGGCTCCACATGGGAGTATTGCAGCGGTGACAGGTGACAGTGGCTTCCCTGCACGTGCTGAGCTGAGCTCCCTTCCAGTGGGTCCCCGTCAGGTGCGCTGCTCTCCTCTCACGAGGGAGGAAGAGGCCAGGCCTCATCCCGTGAGGATCGACTCCTAACTCCAGCGCCAGCTCGGCTCCTTCTCTTCCAGCTTCTGCCCCACCGTGCTGGGGTGAACGATGACAACCACCTGGGGCAGGAACATGCTCCGGGGCTTGGCTGGCTTACGGGGAAAGGCAGGTTCTTCCTACCTGGCCTCCGGAGCCCGCCCCCTCCAGTCTGTCCCCCCAGACCCGGCCCTTCTGCTTTTGTTGGTGCCGGTTCAGATCTAAGTGGGCACCTGTCCCTGGCCAGAGCCCTCTTCCTCCTGGTCCTCCCCCCATGTCCTTCTGTGACACCCTCCTGCACTCTGCCTCTGAGTCCCCTCCTCTGCCCTCCTGGGTCTTTGCTCCCAGCCTCAGCCAGGTAGGTGGGGGCTGGGGGCTCGGGCCTGGTTCGGAGCTGGCACTCCCTGCTCCAGCACCCGGAGGACAAATAAGTGTCCACTGTGCAGAAAGCCGCTGCGAGGCGCCTGCCGTGGACGGACCTGCTTTGTGTGCGCACAGCCTGGCCTCTCGTCCCACATGACTCCCTGAGCCCTGTGTCCTGGGGAGGTGCAGAAGGTGTCTCGGCTGGTCCCAGAACAGAGGTCCTGGCTGCGCGGATACGGCAGGGACCCTGGGGTCTTGACCGCCACCCCCGCCGTCCCTTGCAGGCTGGATGACGAAATCGCCCAGAAGAACAACGCCCTGAAGAAGATCCGGGAGCTGGAGGGCCACATCTCCGACCTCCAGGAGGACCTGGACTCGGAGCGAGCGGCCAGGAACAAGGCCGAGAAGCAGAAGCGGGACCTGGGCGAGGAGCTGGAGGCCCTGAAGACGGAGCTGGAGGACACGCTGGACAGCACGGCCGCCCAGCAGGAGCTCAGGTGACAGGACGCCACCCAGCCACAGTCCTTGGCCCCAGGACCCTGGGGAGGGGAAGGAAAGGCTACAGGCCAGTCCTGGCGCCCAGGAGTCCTCAGCCCCTAGACCTTGACCTTCCTGGCCACGTTCTGCTGTGACTGGCGGAAGCTCGATGGGGTCTGGTCTTATTTCCCATCCACAAAGAATGACTCTCAATTAGAGACGATTTCAAAACTACAGAAAAGTGGACACGCACGCACGCCGAGTCCCATCACGGTTAACGGTGCTCCGCGAGGGTTGACCCGGGCGCCGCTCGGTGCGGCTCGGGCGTTTATTCATTCAACATGCACACGCCTGCTTCCTGGGCAACCCGTGGGCAGGGCGGTGCCAACATTGAACACCTGAGGCCCACTGCCCGCGCTCCGGGCTTTGTGCTGCACTGCTCGCCTGCCCTGAGAGGCCAGCACGATGTCCTGTGGCCTTGTCACCAGGCAACAGATGGAAAAGCCCAGTGCCGTGGTGAAAATGCAGGCTCAAGGCCAGGCCAGCTTCAGATTCTGTCACACCGTGCTGTGACACCACGGGCCAGCGGCTCACTCTTAGTTTTTTCACCTGTGAGATGCATATAACACACCTGCTTCTTAGGGCTGCTTGGAGGACCAGATGATGTGTATTAAAAACTGAGCCAGGTGTGGGGGGGTACACACCTGTAATCCCAGTGACCTGGGAGCCTGAGCCAAGAGGATCGCAAAATCAAGACGGCCTGGGCAACTGGGCGAGACCCCATCTCAAAACAAAAAAAGTGAAAAGGGCTGGGATGGATCTCGGTAGTAGAGCACCCTGGGTTCACTCCCCGATCCCCACACACACACACTGCCCCTACCCTCTCTATTGAGCACTTAATATATGCCAGGCCCTGAGCATACGTTAAGTGCTTAATAAGTAAGAGCTGGCATTAACACTCGTGGCAACGTGGCAGTTCCCAGATACTCTTTCAATATTATTTGGCACGTTGGTCTTTCAGCCTTGAGGGAGGTTCTGGGCAGGTAATGTGCTCCCCATTTGGCAGCTGAGGAAATTCCAGGTTCAGAGACATTAGGTGAAGCACTCGAGGGCACACAGCAATGAAGGGTGGCAATGGGACTCCAGCTCCGGGTGCTGCAGAGCTCGTCCCCTGCTGGAGGGAAGCCCGCCTCCTCCCCGTTGCCACCTACTGTGTTCTTCCTGCCAAGGGCCAAGCGGGAGCAGGAGGTGACGGTGCTGAAGAAGGCCCTGGACGAGGAGGCCCGCTCCCACGAGGCCCAGGTCCAGGAGATGAGGCAGAAGCACACGCAGGCGGTGGAGGAGCTCACGGAGCAGCTGGAGCAGTTCAAGAGGGTACGTCGCCAGGCTCCGCGCCACCCGGGCCCGCAGGGTCGCAGCCTCAAACCATGACGGGTCTGAGTGTCCCGCGTCCAAAACCTTCAAGTCTGAAACGCCCCAAACCCAAACGTTCTGGGAGTCAACATGAGGCCACAGGTGGAAGATTCCAAGCCCGGGCTCATGGGATGGGTGACACCAAACACAGGCTCACTGAGGACACTGTCTGAAATTCCCCCGGGGTCATGTGGATAAAGGGTACACGAAACATAGATGGGTTCCGTGTGTAGGCTCAGGCCCCATCTATCCAAATGCAAACATTCCACAATCAGAAATCCTACACTTCTGGGCCCAAGCATTTTGGATAAGGGACACTCCATCTGTATGTGTTGGCGTCTACGTGAAGACAAATAACAAGTGATGAGATTCTAACGATAGCCGCGGCGCCTCGCATTTACGAAGTGCCTCCGGCACGTTGTCCTTTCACCTTTACAACCACCCTATGAGGTGGGTCAGTGTCCGTTACTATAACAAATACCCAGGTGGCCAACTTACAAAGAGAAAAGGTTTGTTTGGCTCAGTGTGTTGGAGGCTGCAGTCCATGGGTCTGTTGGTCTACTGCTGGGGTGAGGCAGCTCACCACAGGGCCACAGGGCAAGGGCAAAACCCTCAGCTCGTGGTCAGGAAGCGAAAGAGCAAAGAGAGGGTCAGAGTCCATAGTTCCCTTCAGGGCCACACCCCAGTCACCTGCAGACCCTTCACTAAGGCCCACTCCTGATAAGCCTGGGGTTAGGGCTGGTTTTTGGAGGAAGGCAAGACCCTCTGCACCCATTTGACAAAGCGGTGGGCTGTGTGAGCAGCGCTGGTTTAGGTCTTCAAAACAGGAGCTGGAAATCCAGACTTTCATATAAAATTTATTTAAACCTTGGCAACTCCTCCCTTTTGGAAGTCCTGAATGGGGCAGTGGACGTGACCGCAGGTTGGAGGTGGCTGTGGGACCCCCGTGTGCCAGCTCCACGGCTTAGGACACAGCATCCCCCAGCCTCCCTGGTGACTCTGCGCTCCCCTTGCCCCATGCTCCGTGATGGCACGGTCCGGGGCCCTCCTGGGGAGCGGGGAGGAGGCGGCCTCTCACCTCCCGGCCCCCGCAGGCCAAGGCCAACCTGGACAAGAGCAAGCAGACGCTGGAGAAAGAGAACGCGGACCTGGCCGGCGAGCTGCGGGTGCTGGGCCAGGCGAAGCAGGAGCTGGAGCACAGGAAGAAGAAGCTGGAGGGGCAGGTGCAGGAGCTGCAGTCCAAGTGCAGCGACGGCGAGCGGGCGCGGGCCGAGCTCAACGACAAGGCCCACAAGCTGCAGGTGAGCGGCGCCGCAGGCCAAGGCAGGCCTGGCCAGCCACCACGGTCCCTCCAGTGACACTGCCCCTGGGAGGGACAGCTCCCTGCTCAGCTCAGCCGATGGGCGTGCATTGGCATCTGCTCTGGGCCAAGCACGGTGCTTGATCCCGAGACTCGAGATCAAGGAAGATGACAGACACTGTCCCTGCCCAGTACGCTCCAGCCTGGTGGGGTGGGAGGACACCAGCGATCACACAGATGGAGCTGGAAGGGGAGGCACGCAATGGAGTAAGTGGCAAGAAGGCTGGGCCAGGCCTCCCTCAGGAGGACTGTGAAATGACCCGTAGAAGTCTGCTAGGCAGAGGGACGGCATGCACAAAGGCCCTGTGGTAAGTGGAGAAGCAGAGGAGAGGCACAGTACAGAGAAGGAGGCTGTGGCTGGATGACACAGGGCCTGCAGGGACATTCAATGGATGTTGTTATTCCAAGCGATGGGAAGCCATTGAAGGGCACGAAGCTGACAAATGGCTCGGCCCGTCTTGGGTTTTAATTAGCTTTGAAGACACACTGAGCCCGAATTTCCATTTTTCATGACTGGCCAGAAACTAGATGGATATTTAATGTACTAAGGCCTGGGCCAGGGCAGCACGGGTTTCTTTCCCCACCTGCATTTGAGAGCAGGGCTCTTGATATCCTAATACGAGCGAGGTCCTGGAAGATTAGCGTCAAGGTCAGTCACAGCCTCGCTGTAAACGGGAAGAGGCAGGCGCACACCTCCAGAGGCCCTGCTCAGGGACAGCAGGCCCTTCACCTTTAGGGTGTCTTTGGTTGTAGCTAAAAGAGCTAACAGAAGGAGAGGGTGGGGACGGTCACGTGTCCTCCACAGTCTCCTCCCCCGCTCTAGGGAGCACCTCTCAGCCCTGGACCTTGGGGCCTGCTTCACCCTTGCCAACTTGGGCAGGGGACCAGGGCCCAGTCGGGAGGTTAGAGTCCAACAGACTCTAGAACCACAGTCTAGGGACAGGGACTTAGAGACAGTCACCCAGACCCTGCAGATGTTTTCTCAGTGGACGCCATGAGTCGGTCGCATCCTGTGAGGGTGCGTGACATGGTGTTCTAGAGCCCCACTAACCAGTCTCCTGCCACCGCAGAATGAGGTGGAGAGTGTCACCAGCATGCTCAATGAGGCAGAGGGCAAGGCCATCAAGCTAGCCAAGGACGTGGCATCCCTGGGGTCGCAGCTCCAGGACACCCAGGTGAGTGCCCCGCTGCATCGTCCGGGGGACAGGGGTGTGGCCCTCCTGGGTGGATCCTGGGACCTCCGTGCGTGCTTTCCGTAGGAGCTGCTGCAGGAGGAGACCCGGCAGAAGCTCAGTGTGTCCACCAAGCTGCGCCAGCTGGAGGGTGAGAGGGACAGCCTCCAAGACCAGCTGGACGAGGAGATGGAGGCCAAGCAGAACCTGGAGCGCCACATCTCCACCCTGAACATCCAGGTGGGCGCCCGGGGCTCCTCCCTGGCCGAGCCTGGCGTGGCCCCGCTCCCCAGGGCCGCTCTCCTCTCACCCCGGCCGGGTGCTGCCGTTTCAGCTTTCCGACTCCAAGAAGAAGCTCCAGGACTTCGCCAGCACCGTGGAAGCCATGGAGGAGGGGAAGAGGCGGCTCCAGAAGGAGCTCGAGGGCCTCACCCAGCAGTACGAGGAGAAGGCGGCCGCTCACGACAAACTGGAGAAGACCCGGAGCCGGCTTCAGCAGGAGCTGGACGACCTGGTGGTGGACTTGGACAACCAGCGGCAGCTGGTGTCCAACCTGGAAAAGAAGCAGAAGAAGTTTGATCAGGTAGGGGCGGGTCCCCACACTCGGTCTTGGACGCTGGGGACCTCCATCCCATCCTCACTTCTAGAAGGCACAAAAGGCTCTCTCACCTCACCGGGGGTGACCATGACACATGAGGGTACCAGTACCATGAGGGCCATTTGTGGGGCACCCAGTGAGGATCCCATTTATACTCCGGTACCACCTGTCCCACCAACTGCATCATGGGAAATTTCACACACCACCAAGTGGCAAGATTGGCGCAGCGAATACCTGTACAGAACACTGTACAGCCATGCAGCGCTCACGTGTCCCCACGCACGCTGCGCGCACTCGTTCAACTCCTAAGGTTTTACTACATACTTAGAAGGATGAATCATATCTATCCATCATCTTTGGGCACATCTCAAAGCAAATTAGACATCTGTATACGCCTCCCTCAACAGCACAGTGATTATATATTAGAGTTCATTTTAAAAAGTAACTTTGCTTCTTTTGAAGTACAGTGTACCGATAAGGCAACGTACAAATCTGAAGTTTACAAAGTTCTCATAAAGGCACCCACCTGTGAGCCAAACCTCTGAACACCAACTTTTACGATGTTACCTATAATTATTACATAGAGCCCAGTTTGCAGGTGACTGGGAGTTAGTTATCGTAAAAACAAATTTGGGGATTGTACCACTGGGGCCAACTGCCAGAGGGGTGCTTGGCTTCTATGCAACATCCCGATTCTTCCCTGTCCCAGGGAACCTGGAGGGATCAGCTTGCTTTTTCTGTTGGCCATCACCTATGGTGCAGGGTCATTGTGTTGACTGTGCTGTCTGGAGGTCCTGGTCACTGACTTTGGGTGTTATAGATGGTAATGCCCAAACAGCAGATGAACGGGCCTCAGTGTCACCCTGGCCTCCGTAGCTGGGATGTTCTGCCCACGTGGGCAGCTGATCTAGAAGTAGAAAGTCCATTATGAACGACTTCCACTGAAACCTGAATGACTCACCCCCGCAGCTGGGTACATTCAGTGGGCCACCTGGCTCCTGGCTTAGAGCTGGGCTCACTGAAGCTGCACCCCAGCTACACCATGGTGGGGACCGGGCGCCCATGAGCCTTCTCTTGTGTTGCAGTTGTTAGCCGAGGAGAAGAACATCTCTTCCAAATATGCCGACGAGAGGGACCGGGCCGAGGCAGAAGCCAGGGAGAAGGAAACCAAGGCCTTGTCTCTGGCCCGGGCCCTCGAGGAAGCCCTGGAAGCCAAAGAGGAGCTTGAGAGAACCAACAAAATGCTCAAAGCCGAGATGGAAGACCTGGTCAGCTCCAAGGACGACGTAGGCAAGAATGTAAGTGGCTCGTGGCTGTCGCCTGTCCCCACGTTGATCCGCCATCGGGACTGGAAGGCGGTCCTCGGGGTGGTGCACGGAGTGGGGAGCTGGGGCCGAGCTCTCAGCGGGCATCTGGGTCCCTGGTCGTGCATCCTGCGGGGGGCCAGGGACACACTCTGGACTGAGGCGCTGGGCTCTTCGGAGGTGTAGCCTCACTGCAGTGGGGGGGTCGCTTGGCAGGTCCATGAGCTGGAGAAGTCCAAGCGCGCCCTGGAGACCCAGATGGAGGAGATGAAGATGCAGCTGGAGGAGCTGGAGGACGAGCTGCAGGCCACAGAGGACGCCAAGCTGCGGCTGGAGGTCAACATGCAGGCGCTCAAGGGCCAGTTCGAGCGGGACCTCCAAGCCCGGGATGAGCAGAACGAGGAGAAGCGGCGCCAGCTGCAGCGGCAGGTGAGCCCCGTCGCAGGGAGGGCAGGACGGGGAGTGGGCAGCCTGTTGCGCCCCTGCCGTCACCTGAATAGGCCTCTGGGCACTGTATTCCCATTGGCAACCTGGGCAGTGGTGGTGCTGGGAAGGGGCTGCGGCATGGGGGAGCACAGGGCATCCCCAAGTGGGTAGGTGGCATCCTGCAGGGACAGCCTCACCACGCTGCTCCCTCCTCGTTCAGCTTCACGAATACGAGACGGAACTGGAAGACGAGCGGAAGCAGCGCGCCCTGGCAGCCGCCGCCAAGAAGAAGCTGGAAGGGGACCTGAAGGACCTGGAGCTGCAGGCCGACTCGGCCATCAAGGGACGGGAGGAAGCCATCAAGCAGCTTCGAAAACTGCAGGTGGGTGACACGCAGAGTGAAGGGCACGGGTGGGGGGGAAGGGGGCCCTTGACAGGTATTGGCCACCGCTCAGCTCACACCAGGCGCTCGGCTCCTCGGGACAGCACAGTGCCCTGAGGATGAGGGCAGGGCCATGCCCCAAGGACCTGGCTTGGAGAAGTGAGTAAGGACCTCTGGGCCTGTGCTTCTGTTGCTTACCCAGGCTCAGATGAAGGACTTCCAGAGAGAGCTGGAAGACGCCCGCACCTCCAGAGACGAGATCTTTGCCACGGCCAAAGAGAATGAGAAGAAGGCCAAGAGCTTAGAGGCCGACCTCATGCAGCTCCAGGAGGTAGCGTCCCCTCCTGGATGGCAGGCAGGGCCACCCCGGGCCTGTGTGCCCTGGGACCTCCTTCCCTTGCCCCACACCTCCCCGTGCATGGGCCCCCATAGCAAGAGCACAGGAAGAGGAATTCTCGCTCCTGCTGTCTGGGGCCTCCCTGAGCTCAGGGGGAGAACGTGGCACTTCAGGAGACTGGGGAGAGCTGGGGGACGGGAGCACAGGGGATGTGTAGTGGGGGCGTCCTGGAGACAGCCCCTTTCCTCCCTGCTGTCCTGCAGGATCTGGCAGCAGCCGAGAGGGCCCGCAAGCAGGCAGACCTGGAGAAGGAGGAGCTGGCCGAGGAGCTGGCCAGCAGCGTGTCGGGCAGGTAGGGGGCCGGGGGGAGGAGGGAATGGCTCTCAGGAGGTGACAACAGCGCTCACCTGAGCTTCCCAGGGGACAGACCCACTGTCAAGGGCTCCCTCAGCTTTTCCACGGCCCAGTCCTTTCACTCTGTGCCCGCCTGGTCCCTCATTCCTGGACGAGGCTCCTACTCCTCTGAGCCTCGCCGTCCTCCAAGCATGAGGACAAGCCGGGAGGGGTGCAGGCCCACGGAGGCTGTTTCCCCTCAGGAACACCCTGCAGGACGAGAAGCGGCGCCTGGAGGCTCGGATCGCCCAGCTGGAGGAGGAGCTGGAGGAGGAGCAGGGCAACATGGAGGCCATGAGCGACCGGGTCCGCAAGGCCACCCAGCAGGTAGGTGACGCCAAGTTCAGGCTGAGGGCGCAAGTCCCCAGGCAGGGAAAGTCAGTACAGAAGGCTCTCAGGAGCTGGCCTGGCCCTCCCCTGCCACCAGGCGAACTGTGTCACGAAGCCAGGGAGGACACCGTTAGGTCCCCGGGCACAGGGGTGCTGCAGCGGGGCGAGGACCCCCAGGCTGAGGCCCCCCCACCAGAGAGCACCTTGCCTTGGATCTCGGCTGTAACCAGGTCCAAGTCTTGTCCAGGTTCAGGGCCACATCACAGGCCTGCTGTGGCTGCCCAGGGAGAGCCAAGCTGAGAACAGGGACCAAGGGATCGTCCCTCCTCCAGCGGGTCCTGCCAGTGCCCACCTGCTGTCCCCGTGACACTCAGCACCAGCCTGTAGGGTCTCCCTCGTTGACCAGCACCTGTCCACTAGAGGGAGCAGCCTGGCCGAGGACCCTGGTGTCCTTGTGCGGAACCAAGGCTTAGCATCTGCTTTAAAACATGCTGGGCTCCCCTGTGGGCTGGTGCTCCAAACAGGACCAGAGGACGGAAGGGAGGGCCGTCACTCAGCCTGGGTGGAATGGAGTGCGTCTGGAGGTGGCTCCAGAGCTGAGCCCCAGTGTGGGGGCATCTCGACATACGCCCTCCCTCCTGAGCCTTTCCCCCCACCACCCCCCAGGCCGAGCAGCTCAACAACGAGCTGGCCACGGAGCGCAGCGCGGCCCAGAAGAACGAGAGCGCGCGGCAGCAGCTGGAGCGGCAGAACAAGGAGCTCCGCAGCAAGCTGCAGGAGATGGAGGGGGCAGTCAAGTCCAAGTTCAAGTCCACCATCGCCTCACTGGAGGCCAAGATCGCACAGCTGGAGGAGCAGGTGGAGCAGGAGGCCAGGTATGAAGGGACCACCCCAGCTCACCTGCTGTGACCAGTGGGGGACGCTGGGGCGGTCAGGTAGCCTCTGAGCATGGAATGGAAACATCAAGTGCTGTGCCTGTACTGGGCCCAGAGCAGGCACTTCACACACGTAGGATCACGATGGCCCAGGGGACATTAGCCACCTTCCTGGCTAATGCAGGGAGATGATGTCATCAGCCATGTAGCTTCTCCTAACTCTGGGCCAACTGAGGCACATGGTCACAGTGCCTCTGTGACGAACAGGTTTCAAGGATTCTGACCTTTCAACCCATCCGTTTACCGTGCGTAGTTCCTGGGGTTCTGTCTCGGCAGACGTGTAAGATGGTCATCTCTTTGACACCAGGGGTGCTCCACTGAGCCACATCCCCGGCCCTCTTTTGAGACAGGGTCTTGATAAATTGCTGGGATTACAGGCGTGAGCCACCACCCCCAGCGCCACTGTCCATGTTCTAGAATGTTTCTATCACCCAAAAGGAACCCCAGCCCTCTAGCCTTCACCCCAGGTACCTGCTAATCCAATCAGGCCCTGGTCCCCTCATACAAATGCACATGGCCTCCTGCCTGGCCACCGCCTCCTCCAAGGGAGGTGACTCCAGGTGAGCGCTGGCTCCCCCCCTCCTTGGCCAGTCAGTCCTGTCATCAGGTGCTGCTTCAGGGCCTAGGGCAAAGTGCCCGCGGAGGGCGTGACGCTGCACACAGGACACTGCCTGAGTCTGCTCCCTCCCCACGGTGCAGAGAGAAGCAGGCGGTGGCCAAGTCGCTGAAGCAGAAGGACAAGAAGCTGAAGGAGGTCCTGCTGCAGGTGGAGGATGAGCGCAAGATGGCGGAGCAGTACAAGGAGCAGGTAGCCTTGCGCCAGCCCCCGTCCCAGGACCCCTGGGCCCCCCGAGCGGCCTGACCCTGCGCCTCCCCCCGACAGGCGGAGAAAGGAAACGCCAGAGTCAAGCAGCTCAAGAGGCAGCTGGAGGAGGCGGAGGAGGAGTCCCAGCGCGTCAATGCCAACCGCAGGAAGCTGCAGCGGGAGCTGGATGAGGCCACGGAGAGCAACGAGGCCATGGGCCGTGAGGTGTCCGCGCTCAAGAGCAAGCTCAGGTGAGAGGCCCTGGGGGCCACAGGACACCCACGAGGGCCAGGCACTGAGGCTGCCCAGAGCAGAGCAGGTGCCCGTGGGAGTGCCCATCTCCTTCAGAGCCTGCGTCCACGGCCAGAGGAGGCACAGCTCCCGAAACTGCCTCTTCCCTGGGCCTCCTCCGCACCTGCGTCCTGCCTCAGCGCTGACTTTCTGCACTGGACCCTTCTCTGCTGGGCTTCTCCCCGCACCATGGCAACCAGCTGTCTCCAGAGGGCGCTGGGGTGCAGTCATGCTCCGTGAGAGCCTCTGCACACCCCTGTCCTCAGGGCCACCTCCACTCAGAGGCCTTGGCTTAGGGCACCCGGCTCTCTCCCACGCCACTTGTGCTCTGAGCTTTCAGCACCCAGGTCAGCTCCGGCACCTTCCCCATCCTGCCAGTCGCCCGAGCCTCCTGGTTTGGCCACAAGACATCTTGTGGGTCAGGGCCACCTGGGCCTAGCTGTCGCCCTGGGGTCTTCACGCATTCACAGCCCCCGCACAACCCCCCTCCTGCCTTCTCCACAGCTGCAGCACAAAGGGGTCCAAGGAAAGCACCGTCCCCACTGCGTGCTCCGACCCCCACACTTGCCCTCTCACACAACCCCCACCCATGGCCTGCCTTCCTGTTTCACTAAAAACAGAAAGACCCTGAGACCACCCCCAGCTTCCCCCTCTGCCCACCTGTGCTCATTCCCTCCACCTTTCCTCCACTTCTGGGCCTAACTGCCCGGCCCCCGCCCAGGCCGGCCCAGGCCCCCTTAAACTCGACCCGCATTTGCTCAGGTGCCCTGACGTCTCACCTTGCCCTGCTGCAGAGCTTCCCTCTGGTTAGCAGCCGGAGAAAACCAAGTCCCACTTCTGCCACCCGTTACCACGACACTCCCTGTGGACACGGTGCTGGTGGCCCTGCGTCTTTCCCAGGGCCTGGCCAGGGCTGCCTCCAGCCCTCACCCACCTGTGGGACAGCGCAGGCATTGGGGGCAAGAGGAGTGATGAGCTTTTTCTCGTGGGCTTCCCAGGCCCCACCCTCCCCTGCCTGCCCTCAGAACTTGCCAGCCACGAGGCGGCCTGGGCCATCTCGGTTCTCATCTCTTGCTGCCCACGGTGATCGCAGCTGGTCTTGTCTCTTGGGAATTTCCATCTTCAGCTGATAACTTTGTATCCAGTTCCCCTTGAACTCCCCCCTCAGCTGTCCTGAGGGCCGTTCCCGCGCAGCCCCTGCAGTGGGAAACCCACCCCTCACTCAGACTGCTCACCGTGGGGTCGTGGTTCCCCTCGCCCCTACCTCCTACACCGCCCTGTTGGAACAGCCACCGTCCCCCTCGTCTAGATCATAGGCTCCCGCTGCAGTCACCCAGGGACCTCCTGCTCCCACTGATCCTGACTTCCCAACACAGCAGCCCAGGGATCCGGCTACATGAAGCTGGAACCCCTCCCAGCTGTCCTCAGCCACTACCCCCCTTTACAGTGTCTGATCCCACTGACCTCTGCCAGTAGGTGACCCTCACCTTCACACACGGCCTTGGGGACTTTGCAGTGGCTGCCTCCTCCCTGGTCCTTACCCAGCCTCACTGCTTTCCCAGCTCCTTGGTCATCTTGTGTCCATCTCCTGGGCTGCAGGCCCATGAGCAGAGTTTCACCTGCTCCTCCCCAGGACAGCCTTGGGCACCCAGGAAACCTCCAGTCACTGAGTCCTAAAGCGTGTCTCTCCAACTTCTATGCTGAGGCCCCGTTGTCATTCACCTGAGCCTCTTGCCACCTGCATTACTGCTGTTTGAAAGTAGCCATTTTAAACATTCACCTATTTGCAACTAAAACTGGCCACCCCCGTATTCCTAAACCAGCATCACCATCCTAACAGGTCACAAAGCTAAACCCAGTGAAGTCGAAGCAGTTGTGGTCACCCTGAAGGCCGCCTCTTGGCTACAAGGAGTAACACACGAGCAGCAGCCTTGAGCAATACGAGGGGCCGCCCTTCTCTGCAGTTCAGCTAGTCCAGGGCAGGCCCAGGAGCACCCACACATGAGACAAGGGGCGGGGTCAGGGCGCCAAGGCTTCAAGGAGGCCCCAGTCCCTGCAAGATGAGGGCTTGTGGGTCTTGGTTAGATGGAACAGAATCTAGACCCAACTTTCTGGGTGGAGCAGGGGCTTGGAAGCAGGGTCCAGGGGGTCAGTGGAGGAGAGCTGTGCTCCCACAACGTCCCCCCTGACACCCAGATTATGCCATGGAGAAGCTAGGCTGAGCCAGGGGCACACAGCCACTCCTGGCTTGTCTCTGCTCCTTTCTGGGCGGCTCAGTGATTCTTTGAGCCTGGGCAGAACCCCCGGCGCTAACCCTTCTTGGGTAGGACTGGCCAGTTTGCACACACAACAGGCCACCTCTGCCCAGTCTCGGGGGAGGGGGAGTAAACACAGACTCAGGCCCTAGGTCCCTTTGTGCCGGTGGCAAGCCCCACCAGCTCCTTGGCAAACAAGGAATTTCAGAGCAATGTTTCATCAGGTAAATCTTCACACCAGCCCTCTGTAGCCTGACCCAACACTGACATTGCCACAGTGCCGGCCACCTCTGACCCCAACTGCACAGCCTCCCTTCTGCCTGGAGGTGTCTATGGCAACAGGGGAAGCCAGCCCAGCTCCCCTCTTTCCTGAAGAGATGTGAGTGACAGATTCGCTGGCAGTCCCCAAATACAGCGCTGCAGGACAGAAGTTTTCCAACTTGAAACACTGCTAGTGCTTGAGGTGCCACCCTGTCCCAGAGCTCCAGCTGCCTCTGCTGGTTGAAGCTCGTGCCTTTAGTGACCGTAACCCTCTCAACCTGGCTCCTTCCTGCTAACCACTGGGGACTCTCTCTCTCTTTTCAGAGGGGCCCC